TTCTACTCATTATTTTTCAAATTTCACTCTTTTTTCATAATCACGCGTTGTTATTAACTACTTCCACCTAAACCTATCAATGGTGGGTCGGATTATTTGATCCAAAACTATTTTTTTATAGAAATATTTACACTAAATAGCACTAAAAAATACTCCCTCCGTCTCACAAAAAAATTCTCATTTTGAATAGTATTTAGTCAAATATTTATACGCTTTGATTATAAATTGTGAGAAAGATATATTGAATTATGGAATAAATTTTATATAATTGGATTCATCTTAAGATCTAGTTTTGATATCTCAAATTTTTTTAGCATTTCTTTATTTAGATTATATTTAATTTAGGGTCAAAGTCTGCAACAGTTTGACCAATATATGGTCAAAATGGGAATTTTTTTGTGGGACGGAGGTAGTAAATCATTTTCCAATGTAGCACTTAAATTTATTTATTCCCTAAATAGCACTTAATAATGTCTAGAATGAGGAATAATGTCCAGTGATGGTGAACATTTACTTGAATAATGACTAATGGATAATGACTAAAAGTGCTACACTGGGAATTAAAATCATATGGTGCTATTTTGGAAAAATCATTATGGTGGTAGTGCTATTTAGGTAAATTCAACTTTTTTTAATCAAATGGCCAGGGAGGGCGGAAACCCCGAACTAACTCATCTCCTCAAGCTAAGAGAAATCACCCTACGAAATCTGGTAGCACCTATCATGTCCCTTGTAATGACTAATGTTGTCCTCCATCTCAAGTCGGGGATCTTCATGTTCAATCCAATCAGCGGCATGCTGAAGGCTCTAGTAATACTAGCCATGTGGCCACTCGTAAAATTTTGTTCAGGGAAGATGTTTTTGATCTCGATCCTTTTGTAGTTCTGTACTTATTTAGCCACTTCTTAATGTTATTAATGATGTAACGAGTAGATCCTCTAAGTGAATTATGGTCCAAAACTATTAATTTTAATAAAACAAACTGTAGTCCATATATTCAAGACTCGTCGTGTTTACCATTTGTGTAACTCTGATCTGGTATTAAACTTGGATCGATTTGTTTGGGTCTTGGTCGGTGTGGGCCCAAACCAGATATAGACCGATGGAAGTTTTTCTTGAATACATTTTGAGATTTGAATTAACATTATTGATTTTTTAATTTTAACCACACATAAATAGCTATGTTTTTTGTATCTTAACAAAGCACTCATATAATTAATGATTTGGATGAGAAAAAAATGAAATACGGAGTAATTATCTACGGAGTATATTTTAATCAATTAAAAATATTCTAGCATAATCATTTTCTAAAAAAACTTAACTATTGCACATAAATATAATACTCTCTCCAACTAAGATTAAATTGAAGTATTATTGTGAATTTTTTTTGTCAAATACTAGCATACGCTTTTTGACTATAAATTAAATATGATTTTATATAAATAAAGATTATAAAATTTATTGATATATAAAAACTAAAACTACTTAAAATGAACCCATTTTTAAATAAATAATAATAAAAGAGTGTCACCCTGTTACCAAAAAATTTAAAATGAAACTTTCATTCTAAGACGTACGGATCTCATGGACTATTAATCGAATAACTGAATAGTTATTCTCTAGAATATTTTACTATAAGTATACATCTCAATTTTCAAATTAAAGACTTTAAAGTGGAAGTCATTGACTATAATGTTCTAAAAACTCCTCCTGTTTTGATTCTTAAGTCAAATACGGACACTCTTTGACTATAACTTAAACATAAATCAATTAAATAAATATTACAAACATTTGATGTATCAAAACTATTTTTTCTACAATTAACCCAATTTTTTTGAATTTATATTATTATTTAACATATTTTTTTCTCACAGTTATAGCCAAATAATGTTATTATTTGACAAAAAATGTCAAAATAGGAAGAATTTTTAGAATGGACGGGAGTATGTACGTCATTCATGCATGACTCCATTTTACATGTTGGATTTATTCATATATAGTGTTTCATATTACTCCTTCCGTTCCACAATGAATTACATTTTTAACTTTTTAAAAATCACGGTAATTTTGTTTATTTATATATTTTTATCGATCATTTGATAATTCAAATAAAATATTCTTTTCACTTATTATTTTTGTAGAAATTTTGATTTACTTTTTAAATATGTAATCTTTATTTTTATACTAATCTTTAAATAAAATGAATTTTAAAAATTTGAAACTTTACTTCGTTTATGGAGTAAAAAAAATTAAAATAAAGAGCAGCATTTGATTTCGTTATAATTACACTCTTTTTTTGTTTTTTGTGAAATTCAAAATGTGTAGCCTTTATTAAATAGAGTGGTAGTGGGGGCATAGACAAACAAGGCATCTATCATATCTTAGTTGTCTACTGTGCCACTAAGACTGCACTTAAACATTTCCCATAGCTATAGATTAGCAACGTGAGATGTTGGCAATGGGTTAAGAAACGACGCCAATTTATTTATAAAAGTCTCATTTTTTGTCTTGCCAATTAGTACATTAATTAATTAATTAATTAATTACTACTTCCTCTGTCTCATTTGAATCTTTACGGCCCGCGTCATGATATGATGTTCGACCACCTTTATAATTTTTTAATTCAATTTATTTGATTGTAAGTGTAAAGTGAAAAAAATAAAATTACATATTAAAAAATTACATCAAAAGATCTTCAAAACTAGAAGTGACATGATTATACTCCGTATTATTTTATTAAATAAATAAAAAATACAGAAAAAATATATAAAATTTCACAGTGTAAATAATGTGTGTATTCAAGTGGGACAGAAGATTAGCCATTAATTAACGCAAGCATCTATCTAAAGTCAAAACAAGAGATATCATGATTAGTTTATATACTAACATTAAAAAATAAGTAAATAAAATGAATAAAGTTGATTATACGAATAGTGCTTCAGTTGTTTATTTCCGGACGAAGAAAGGAGTAAAAGGAATGCTCCCTCGGTCCAGAAATATTTTTCTCATTTGACTTCTTACGGCCTCCAATGTTGTACTTTGACCAATTGATACGGAGTATTAATTTTATATCACAATATAAAATTAGAGTCAAAGTTTACAAACTTTGATAAAAAAGGCCAAATGCGAGTTTTTTTCCAGACGGAAGGAGTAATAATTAATGTATGAAATATTAAAATTTAATAATCCGATCCGTAGAATATCATTTTGTACGACTAGAGTAACATTTATTTAATGCTCCAACTCATCAAAAATAGTATGGACTTGACTTGGGGCATATGAGGAAATATGTTTATGTTACTCCAAGAAGTAAGAAACATAAATTCAAAAGTTGGACAAAATAAATACTCCGTATATGTTTGATTATACTCCGTATTTGCCAGGAATACAGTTGGGGGCCATAGGTTTTATTTAGGTAATTGCATTGGTCAACATGCATTATCCCCTGCACATGTTTGAGTCTTCTTGTAATCTACAAATAAATTAAGCTATCCCTCACTCAAATATGCTTATAAGCTGATCAAAACTGATTATAAATAATTCTTAACTTATAACTTACTTAATGACATATTTTTTATGTACTTATATGCTGACTAATAAGGTGTTTATAAGCCATAAAAAATAAGTAGGTCTTAACTACTTATTTTTAAACACGTTTTTTTGTTTCTCCGTTTTGGCCAAGTTATTTATAAAACTATTCCTCATTATTTATGAATATTTACAAATGATTTGTCTATCATTTAAATTATTTTACTTTCACGAAAGAATATTTGACTTATAAGCTAAAAATTATTTATCAGCAATAAGCCAATAAACACTAACACAAAGAAACATTCTCTATGGTTCTTAAGTGTAATTTATACTTCTAATTAACTGATATAGCACATTTATTTCATACTCAATATCATAGTCTTGCATTTTAATTACTTTTGACACAATTCTAATTCTCTGAAATGTGTCTTTATTCATATTACATCTCCAATTTCTAAATTTCTTAGGAATATACTCCATAGTACAATTAAATTTAAAAAACTGAGGATGTAATTTGATGGACACAATTTAGGAAATGAAATTGTGTCAGAGGTAATAGAAATGCAAGAATAGAATGTTGTCTGCGAAATAATTGTGTTATCTCAACAAATCTGAAATCTTATTTATGTTTTTAAGAACTATTTTCAAATTTAAAAAAATTTTGTAAGGATGACTAGAACAGAAAATTACAGAGACCAACCACAAAAATATGCTATTTTACATAAACTAAAAACATATTTAATCCCTTATTGTTAAAATTTAAAAAATGTTTATTAAAAACTCAAAATGAAAAGAAATTTTTGAACACTGGGCCTTCATTTTCTTGGCCCAGTAACACGTACACTACGGCTTCATTCAGCCCACCTCAGTTCTACTTCTATCCTAATGGATTTCATTATACACATATTTACAAAGGTTTCATCTTGGGCCTGTTTGGTAAAAGAGAATATATAGTTCAGATATTGCAGATGATTTTGTTATTTTACACATTAAAGTGTTAACTGTAACAGGTTTAGCCACCAAAATTATTACTCCGTACAAATATTCCTCATTATGGACTTTTGTGTGCAACTCAAGTTAAAAAAATAGTCAATTTTTGAATTACAATGTACCCTAATATGTAAAATTACCACTGAGACCAGAGTGACAATTCGACAATGTATATTATCACTCCAAATGACACCGGTTCGATTCGGGTGACCCAACCGTTACTTCCCGTCCAAACAGATACGGATCCACCATTTATTCCATTCCCATGCTAACTAAAAATGGATTATTTTTTTCAAGTACAAAATGTACAATACACACAGACACTCATGACTAAGGACATTTGATATTATTGATGCATTCTTGAGGAAAATATGCACCATTCCCTAAGGAGCCACATAGGAAAAAAAGATATAACCAAAAAAAAAGAAAAACACTTCGCTATATCTGAACCTTCAATTATAGTAAAAACATACCGATAAAAAAAACAACCTAATTCATTTTTCAGACGATATACCCTATGTACAATCCCACGATCCATCAATCACCTCCCTTCCTCGGTCTTTCTCTAAGGTCAAGCTTTTCTTCCAGAGTAATATATCAGCCAGCAGGAAAACTTGGTTTTATACTGATTGTAGAGCAGAAAAAAAAAACATGTTTATTGAAGATGCAATACAGGAGGGTGTGTGTGCGCGCGCATATTTGAAGGGATATTAGAAAGGGTACCATGAGAAGGAAGAGAGAGGATGGGATGTTGCTGCTGTTGGCAGGAGATGTTCATCCAGCTATTGGACTGAGAATGCATGGCAGACAGTTCGCTACAAGCGGCGTTCTTTCGTCTGATCAAGAACAATGAATGGGTTTCTTCAGATAAACACAGAATCTGCAGCAATACAGAAATAATCTACCCGGAAGACCTGAAATATGGTGAGAGGGGAGAAATGTACCCCAGTGGTTGATGGTCATCGCCACTTTCATCGGCATTGAAACTTTCAACTTGAAAGACCTCAGAAATGGAAATATTTTGATCAGAATCGGCATTCTTGGATTGGTCCGGTGGTTGCTGATTGGTTTCTGCATCAAAGATATGGTTTTTCATGTTGATTAATCAATACTTTGGATCCTAGATACTAAATCTACAGAAAAGATTGAATCTTTCTTGGATTTACCTGCTGGCGCATTCGAATCCACGTTCATTAACATCTTTTGACACATGATCGTGCCATGGAAATCAAGAAATGTGTAACTCAACAGCTTTAACCTCTCAGAATCTTGCATCACTGAGAAACCAAATGAAGTGGTCCATGTATCCAGTGCACTAGACACGGCTGGCAACACTAGCCGTTCTACTCCTAATTCCCCGAGTTTCTGAAGAAAAAAAAGTAGCAATATTAAACACTCAATGAACCTTAGTAAAGTTCAAGAGAAGAGAAGAAAATACCTTCTCAAGAACGTTCATCAAAAACCGACACATTCCAAGTCGTCGATATTGAAATCTAGTGCCAACAAAGGGGATCTCCGCTATTTTCTCGTCATGGACCCTTAACATGAAAGGTACTTCAAGTAAGTGTTTGGGAAGCAGATATGGGAGATTAAAGAGTCTTACAGAACTATAGAGTTTCTTTTTTTACATTTGGTCCTACAATTAGGCATTTTGCACTTTAGTCCCTGAGTAACATTTTTGTCATTTTTCCTGCATGATTTACGCATATTCCCACTTTTGGTCTCCCTAGTCAGATTTCTGGTCAGCCGCTGCCGGAGAATAAAACAGTCTTTGTCGATCAAAATTTGACCAATCTAGAAGGGTAAATCATTATTTCTCACATCCTTCCCTCTATGTATTTTACAAAATTTTACCCATCTAGGTTGGTTTTGCAGTGGTAATTCACCAGACACCTGATCAGAAGGACCAAAAGTGACTATCTCAAAAGTCATGCACCGAAAAATCAGGCATGAAAAAATCAAAAAAATATACTCAAGGACTAAGAGTGGGAAATGTCTTATGCTTGTGGAACCAAAAGAGAAAATATTTCTAACTCTAAGCATGAGGTAAATATACTCAAGGACTAAGAGTGGGAAATGTCTTATGCTTGTGGAACCAAAAGAGAAAATATTTCTAACTCTAAGCATGAGGTACCTAACAGTAGCCACCGTAATGAGTTCATCATTTTTCTCCAAAACCACAGTATAGAATCCTTGAAAATTTAAACGGTTCAACTCGGACCTGCAATATGAACTTAACATTAGTATGAAATGGGGGCATTCCGAACATAAAAACAGAACACAATCAATTCTTTATCACAAGTACAGGTTGATCATGAGTCGTATACAGTGGAAAAAGAAAATAAAACTTGCAGATTTCTTAAAAACATTAACCTCACCATCTACTAAAGATAACATCCTCCATTATATCGCTCCGGGTACGCGATTCTTTGATAGGATCAAAACACTCATGCATCACATCAAGTGCAACATTAAGTTTTGCATAACTCTCTGTCATAAACTCATTGTCCTGTGCTCCGGACAAGGAATCATTCATTTTTGTGCATTTTAGAAATGTCAAAGTTAGCAAATTGTCCACTGGGATTGGTTTTCCCAGAAGCTGGTGAAGTCCCGAAAAAATCTGCAAACAATACCAGCCGTTCAAGTACTTGTCAGGACAATATAATCAGAAGTTACTTTCTTTTGCATATATTCTGTTCTCTACGCTGATTTTTTTTAATGTTCAAGTTGCAAAGCACAATAAGTTATTTCAAGCAACGAACTATCATTCTACTAGTTAAAAAAGCTTCAAAGTACATATATGATATATCCATGTAAATGTTTTATGTACCTGTTCACATCTTTTAGTGCAAAACCAATTTCCAGAATGGTAACTATCCTGCAGTAAAATCTTATCTCTGTCTTTGACACACCCAAAATGATCTGCAACAATGTCATGAAATTCACAAAAGCAATGGTAAATCAAGCAGGTGCAAGACTAAATTATCAATGAATGAGATAGTGTGCAAAGTGTTTACATTGATGTCCACATTGATGACAGCAGAGATTGCTATCATCTGTGAATTGGTCTTGGTTTTTATTGAATTTACTTTTGCCACAGATTCCACAATAGCATGATGGACAGAACCAATCACCATCCGGAATATCCTGGTTAAACACGTAAAGAAGATAAATATCAATAGCACCATTTTCTTGTCACTTTCATTTATGATGTTCACGCACATTATAAGAACAGTTTATGGCAATGGTGGAAGATGAGAAAACATTGATGCAGCAGTAAAGAAATGTAAAAACAATTTGTTAGGGCATACCTCTAAACCAAGACAGCTAGTATGAAATGAGGATGGGCACTGGTCACAAAGAATTAATTCACCGCCGTCGTGGCAGATAGAGCAAATATGGTCATTCCGTTTCATCTTTCGACTCCATTGCACTATTGATGTGTTGTTGACAACCCTTTTTTGTTTAATCTCCAACTGACACTCAGCTAACGATCTTCCATCTTCCAAAAAGAGATTCACTGCAGGCCTGTGATTGGTGCTTCCTGCATGACTTTCAAAGTTGGTAAGGCTATAAACTTCCTGGCAGCAGTTGCATCTGATTCCATCCCTTGTTATTTTCCCCTCTTTCAATCTCCTTCCACGATATGTAACGGCCGTCTCTGGAACAACCACACCATTGTCTATCAACCAAGATAACACAGTCCGAGGCCCTCTGTGAGAGGAAGAAACTGCCGTTCTTGTAGATCTTAGCAATCTGGTTGAAGGACTAGAGTCTACAGTAACATCTCCTGATACTTGAGGGGAAAGATTTCTCTTTTTTCTCACTTTACTTGACCTCAAATTCTCAACATCAACTGATTCCACCTTCTGGGATCGGGTCGAAGGATTACAGTCTACGGTAACATCTCCTGATTTTTGAGGTGAAAGATTTCTCTTTTTTCTCACCTTACTCGGCCTCAAATTCTCAACATCAACGGATTCCACTTTCTGGGATTGGGTTGAAGGATTACAGTCTGCAGTAACATCTCCTCCTAATTCTTGAGGTGAAAGATTTCTCTTTTTTCTCAATTTGCTCGGCCTCAAATTCTCAACATCAACTGATTCCACTTTCTGGGATTGGGTTGAAGGATTACAGTCTACAGTAACATCTCCTGATTCTTGAGGGGAAAGATTTCTCTTTTTTCTCACTTTACTCGGCCTCAAATTCTCAACATCAACTGATTCTGCCTTCTGGGGTTTTATATCATTTTCATCAAGAATATGGTTCTCAGTTTCCGTGCCTTTAACATGCCATCTGCAAGCTTCTGGAAGTGTATAGCATGAATGCCCTTTAGGAGACAAATAGCGAAATCTGCCGGGGGCCCAATAGTTGAAGATTTTCCATCCACAAGAAACCAGATGCTTTGTAGCTTCCATACGAAGCTCTGACCTTTCCTTCATACTGTAACTGCAATTTTTGTCAGGACTTAAATAATCACTCACTGATTGAGGGCAGTGTTTAGATTCAACTTCAACTTCAACTTCTGAAAACTTCTTCGTTAACATATCTCGAGAACTGGGTCGGCATCTTTTTTTGCAAACCTTAGAACCTGGTTCTGATGCTTTTTCCAACTCGCTGCAGACTTTATAAAGAGATGCATATGACTTTCCAGAAGGTGAAAAATAACGTAACCTATGGTACCCTCGATACGTTGTCCACTTTATTTTCCATCCCAAAGATGCAAGATGTTTCCTGACTTTTATGGATAATTGTCGTGGTTTGTTTTGGCTCAGCGACATTCTTCTGAACTTAATGATTGTGTCAGGGCAAAACTCCGGCTCAATAACTAATGGATGCCATTTCCGCGATTTACGCTTTCTCATTTCAGAAGATTCAAGCTTCTCACAAGAAGCTTTGAGATATTTACTATGGTTTTTTCTTCCACGTTTACTACTCGAACCAATCTCAACATTATGCAGAAGACCATCAGGAAGTGCTTTCTGTTCTTCAACAATTTGATGACTGGAAACACTTGGAGATGCTTCTGGTTTCAATAGAGCCTTGAGAATAGGTTCAGATAATTCCAGAAGTGGTCCTTCCCGTACAAAGCGTTCTGAGGAGTTCAATAACCCTAAGAACTGATCCACAGTGAACTTCAGATTGTCAAATATTACTTGGGATAACAATTCCCTCCAATAATCCCTAACAAAAAAAGTCCATTCCATTAGTTTGTTATTTTCATTCTTCTCCCTCGCTTCATACCAAATTTGTTTCACCGAGACAAAAAGGGGCGATTCTTTTTTGACTTCATTGATTAGTTCAAGAAAAACCCAGTTCCCACGAGGCTTCCATTCCTCAGTAAGTTCATCCCACTCTTGGGTTAACCTCAAGTTATCAACACAGACCATCATATCATCACCCTGATCTGGGAAAAAGATTCTCCTCTCCTCAGAACCATCTTCGTGGTCAAAAACCACACCTTCCCACCAGGCATCCTGGATAAAAGAATCTACACATTGTCCATACTGAAGTGGTGCTGATTTGCTGAAAGTGAGTGGAGGTGGCAATGGCCTTATTGCACCGCGATGAGTATTTGGGTCCCACTGATCAGATTTTGTACAGACGCCGTCAATCAAAGGACTGACCGACAGGGTGTCAACCAAGTTGGAAGATCCGTCATCACACAGAATGTGATCATATTCCACAATACGTAGTGATTTTTTGACGTGGATCACTTTACCCGTGTGCCATGACCCGAGGAACCCTTCATCTAACGACCTCACCTGCATAAGTTTGTAATTGCTTAAGCAAAATCTCAGTTTCCCAGACATTGATTATGCCTTAGTTTAAAATAATTCAAAAAATTGAACAATTTTTCGGAAGGCATCTGTGTAACAAGAAAAGAAACTATCAGGTTAATAAATGATTTATGATTCAATCCAAGAAGTTGAATCCCACAATCCCATGGAAATTCAATGAGAGCAACATGCAACCGCAGAACCAAAATAGACCTAATTCCCATTCCAGCATTACCCATTAGTTCAATGTGAAAAATCAATTGATTAATAAACCCTAATCACACCCTTAATCAAGAAACTCATATTGAACAGATTAGATAAAGATCGGATTTTTAACCCAAGAAAGTCAAAGAAACTGGAAATTACCTCAACTCTCTCCCCTGAGGGAAGTTTATGATGCCTTTCCCCCTTGCCTCTTCTCTTGGGTTCTTCGTCTGCAGCCGCCATTGAAGAGCTTTCAGGTTTGGCCTTTGGTCTGCTGCAGTTTCAGTTTCCAGTGAGAATTAAAAAGAAGCCCATAGTTGGCAGATTGTTGGACTCATATATCTCTAGTTTTAAGGGAGAGAATCGAAACCCCAAATTTTGATTTGATTTGTTTTTAAGAAAAAATAAAATCCGTTTCCTTTAATTTACTCCAAGTTAATTCTTGGATTCCAAGAAACGCCCGAAAACAGTCTTGAATTTGTCGGGTCTACCTTCAAGTTTTTAGGGCTTTTGGTTGTTGTTTCCACAGTTTCACTTATCATCTCATAGGGAGTACCCGAACGCAAATATATTTACACATTTTGATTTTACAAATTTGAGAAGAAAAAAAAATGTTTAAATTACACATGCCCACTTTGGTAGTGTACATTGGGGTTCTAGAGTATTTCGTTAGAGAGTACGGAGTATATAATTTTTTTAAACTCACATAAACTTTTCCTAATCATCTCTCTTCTGCCATTGTGCTAAAATGTGTAATTCAATTGGTTAAGTAAGAATACAAAAGAGGTTAAAAACGAGTTTGATTCTTGATAACTGTGCTAAAAAATAATTATGATAAATATAAGATCCGGATGCTTCAGAAGTGTTTCTCAAGAGTGGGACTTATCCTTTTTCTAAAGTGTCCAAATACCGGGAGCCGGGAGGAAGTAGGGCTTGAGAATTAGAAAATGAGGTCAGTTCCCATGAATGTCATGGGATGACCAAAGGTACTCCAATGCCCCATTTGTAAAATTGACGGTTCTTATCCCATCAACTCTTCCACTCTGCTTTGACCTGAAAATACCCCCCACCCTCTTCAATTGTACCCTCCAAGTTAATTTTGACTTTGGAGTCAAATTTTGATTCCAAAGTCAAAATTAATTTGGGGTGCAATTGAAGACGGTGGGGGTGTGCTTGGGTCAGAGCGGGGTGGAAGAGTTTACCAGAACAGTTAAAGAGGGTAAGAATCGTTAATTTTACGAACGGTGCACAAAACATCTTCGGATTATCCCATGACATTGGCATGGGAACCAAAGGATTAAAAGATAGTCGTACTACTCAATTCAATCATTAATTAAAATACTATGGAATCCTAAATTTTATAGTGTCATATATTTTGTGTTAAAAGGACGTAATGTAAGAAATTAAGTTTAAAAAAAATACTCCATTAGACATAGAGAGTTCAATAAAAATAAGTTACAAAGAAAAAACTTTAACATTTTTTAAAAATGTTTTTAAATGTGAAAAAGCTAGAAGTCCATGATGCTTAACAGTTAACACTATGAATGACAACTATCTGTAAATTTGTACATACAATGACAATAAATCTATGTGAACTCTATGTATTCACAGATGATTTTCGTTCGTGAGTGTACATTTTAGACGATTTTCATCTATAGTGTTAATTGTAGTGAATTTCCACGACGACTCGTATAAATGTGACCGACCAATAACAAAAGACACAAAAAACTGGGAGGAAGCATACACATGTAATATAATACTACTTCCGTTTCTCAAAAGAGTTCCTCTTTTGACTTTGGGGGAAAATAAGGAAGTGTTAAATTGTAGTTGACTTTCCAATTTTGCCCTTGATGTGATGGGTAAAAGTAAGATGTGATAGTTTAGTTGTTAGTGAAAAAATATGATGTGATAGGTAGGGTATGAAAAAGTATGGGTAAAAGTGGTTTTTTAATAGAAAGTGGAAGTGTTTTAAGAAAAACAAAAAAAATGAAAGAGAAAGGGTTTTAAGAAACGGAGAGAGTATTCCAAAATACTTTCTCAGAGAATACTCAAAATTTTATTTTATTTTTTATTTGTTTGAAATAAATTTTTTCATTTATTATAAAATAAGTATTATAGAGGAAATCGGCTTTCATTTTTTAAAATCAATCTCAATCAATAAATTTATTTTTTCTTATATTACTTGCAATTCAAAGACAAAAAATTAATTTGAGAGGTAATATAGAATTTTACTACTATACACCCTTTTATTGTAAGAACATGAAGTGCATGCCAGTGTGGGTAATTTTAGTGGAATTTGGATGCATGTTTTTTAATTTATTGTTCTCAATGTCAGACATTATTATAGGATGAACTGAGCCAATTTAAGAAAATTTGTATTTCATTTGTCTATGCCCGATTCATATGACATTAGTCCATGCACCCCTCGTCTCTCTCATTCACCAATTGACTACGGCGATTGCTATGGTCAAGCGGCGAAGTGAGATGGGGAGAGACTATAACTAATCTGCGAATGTAGGGAGGGAGGGGGGGTCGTGTCAGGTGGCGGAAAATGAATAAGAATTATCGGTTTTTTGAATAGAACACCGTAGGAGTTCTAGATCATTCTATGTCATTGGTGACAAATGTTGACACATGAATCGTCTCGTTTTATCTAAAATTCCTACTCCGTTCCGTTCTTTTTTTCATTGGTTTTCTAAATACATTAAAAGGTATATAATCGTCAGATAAATGTGAATGAAAAGAATAATAATGTACAAATAATATGGTGTAATATGCAAATAATTTCTAAGTTATAAAATACTCATTTTGCATATTTTTATAATATTCTTAGAGAATATACGGAGTATTACTTATGTCTCGGAGTCTTTGTCTAAAATTTATTTCTTTTTGTAGCCAAAATTGATAAATTAATTTTGAACATAATTTTATAAAATTGATATTTTATTTCAACACAAAAACAATTTTATTAAACTAATCTTGTAAAATTTATCTAATTATTATACCGTATGATTTTTAGTTAATTATAAGTCAAAAGTTAATATCAAAAGTTGATATTATAAGTCATTCTTGAAAAATGTTCATTTGGTTGTTAGAAGATATTTTCATTTGGTTGATCACACCGCTTGTATTGATAAAATATTTTTTTAAAATAAAGTTATAGAAAAATGCTCAATTATGCGTAGAGCGTGCACATTACGTACAAAAGCATATTATACGTACTTATGTGTTACACAATGACCATTTAGACTTACAAAAAAGTACCACTTAGAATCTAAATGTTTTTGCGCTCTTCGCAAATAGTCTCTTTACTTTAGTGAGATTCTAAGAGGCTAATGTTATTGTAAATACATCCAGATTTATAGTAATATATTTTTGCCATACAATAATAGAAAAAATTGCACAAAACACTCACATTTCGCTCATTTGTGTAAAATATTTACATTTTTTTTAATTTACATAAAAAATCACAGCTTTCAACTTTGTGTACGGTAGTTTTATTTATGCATCATTGATATTGATTTACCGATGGTAATTGATTTGTTAAGTTATTTTTTTTATAGTCAAATTAAACAAAATTTGATAATTGCATTGATTTAATAAAAATTAGATTATATTTTTATAAAATAAAATAATTTTTTAAAAAATATGTTGCAAGATAGATATAACTCCATCATTTTTGTAGCAATATGGAGTACAATTTTATTTAACTAATGATTAAATTTTGTCTAATTTACAAATTAAACATACTACTCAGGTGAAAATAATACTCATATCAGTTGTCAACATAAGATACCGACTACCGAGTATAACCCTTCAAAAAATAATACTCCGTACGAGTATAAGTTTGAATTGACATAAATAGTAGTTGTATCCTTAAAATAATACGGAGTAATAATGATAATGGCTCCGTTTGGCATCACCGTTAGCTATTAGCGTTAGCGTTTTGAAAAGGCTATTCGACGGTAGCCTTTAAAATTAGCGTTTTCAGAATTAATCTACACCATTAAAATTTTATCCAAAACACTAATACTAATCGAAAACGCTATTCCCAAACAAAGCTAATAATAATAATAATAGTCATAAATAATGATTGTGCTGAATAATACCGAACATACATTTTGGTCTCATTTTATATAAAGGATTAAGCTATTTGTACATTGTTCACCAAAAATTAGATCTCATTTTATACCCATAAAGCATGCACCAATATTTTGTGTTAGTATAATAATGTTAGTGTAATGGATTACACTAACACAAAATGTCTGTGCAATTTATTTGATTAAACTGACTTTTTGTGTCAGTGTGAATCCTTAAAATGATGATGCATACCTTTGAGCCGGGGTAAAACTTGGAACACACTTATTGGTGTAACCCTAATATGGTTATAGTCAAATTTCATTCATTTTTTTTTAAATTTCGTGACTCATTTGATATAACAATATTGTAATGTCATCTCTTGTTTCATACAATTTTGATTAGTTATTTGTTATGTAAATTTTAGTATCTTTTAGTTACGCTCCAATTTTTAAATAAATTGTATTAAAAATAATTTTAGTCAAATTTATTAATAAAAAATAGACAATTTAAATAAGAATATTTTTTTGGATTGGACTAGATAACTTTTGATTTTTTTTCAACTCCTATTTTTTTACTAAGTTCTCTCAATTTCTTATAACCACTTAATAAAAATTTACTTATGAATATACTCCCCCGTCCCCAATTTGATTACAATATTTTTCCTTCTCTCCCCTCGATAACTTTTGTTTGTTTACGCAATTTCATTAAGTATTTGATAAAATAAAATATTCTTGTCATCTCTTGCTTTGTAGAACTTTTGACGTTGTTTTTTAATATGTAATTTTTATTTTTTATCAATATACTAATTCGTAAATATAATGATTTCAAAAAGTGTGATGTTTTTCCTTGTAAATTCCAATTTGTAATCAAATTAGGGACGTAGGAAGTACAATAAATCATACAATAAAATTTCTTTGGATGATACTTTAATAATATGATTTTTAACACTTTATTTTTCCCCCCAACATTTCTAATCTTTTAAGGCCAAATAGCGCCAGTACCCCCGCGGTTTGCAAAATAGGCACCAAAACCCTCTTTGTTTTTAAAACTTATTTATAAAGTCCTTGTGGTTTCAAAATGCTGCACCCGTGCCCCCTCTGATCATTTTCTGGCCATTTTTCTGGCGAAGAAGGGGGCATTGGTGCATATTTACTAAACCACGGGGATATCAGTGTTGATATTTATTTCTCGCTTTTTTTTTGTTTTTTTCCATTTTTTCCTTTATTTGCTTCATTTATTAATAAAGGTTTTTTTAAAATTATTTTTATAATGTTCATAAAATTTAAAGTTTATTTTGTTTGAAAAAAATTAACATATAATGTATATGTACGTCTCAAATCAAAAATTTTTGTTTTTTCTGAAAAAATTAAACTTTTTGTATATGAGGAATAAAATAAGAAACAAAATAATACAAAAATAAAAATGAATATTTTTTCCAAACATCTCAATTCTAAGGACTTTTTTAGGCTTGTCATTTTTTTGTATCAGACTTTTTTGTGTATTTTTATTTTTCATTTTATTTTTCCATATTTTTATTTTTTTATTCTAGGTTTTTCTTTTTGAACTTTCCAAATAAGTACATAACAAAAAGTGAAAATGTATAATTTCAAATAGACGTAATGTATGTTATTTTTTAAATTTTTATTTTTATTTCAAACACAAAATAATGAATGAAAAAATGAGCACAAATGCTCCTTATGGTTTAAAAATTATGCGCAAATGCCCATCTTCACTGGAAAATGGCCGGAAAATGATCAGAGGGGGTGTGAGTGCAACGTTTTGAAACCACAGGGACTTTAAAAGTAAGTTTTGAAAATAGAGGAGGTATTGGTGCTAATTTTCCAAACCATGGGGGGCATAGGAGCTATTTGGCCTCTTTTTTTAACTATTTTAAATTTCTTTGATTTTTTTCTAATTTCTTACCATTTCTTCATTGCATTAGTCAGCACAACGAGGTCATTTGGATATGTTAGCCACCATCGACTGATCCAGTCCGGTCCTCCACCCTCCGCCGTTTCCCCGCAAACGCCTCTCGCAGATGAACACAAATAAACTGCGAACAAAATACTAAAAAAGAACCATAATTTCTGTTTCTCTCTCGCCATGCCGTGGTTTAGGAATCTGATCCATCTCTCGATCGCCACCGCCTGCAAAAGATCACCATCGCGCAAGGCGGTGTTCCCAGCGGCGTCGCCGCCTCCGTCTCTGACCCAGATTTTTCTGTTCAGCACACAAGCTGCCTCGCCCACGGCGGCGGTGTCTGGGGCAAGGCGGCGTACTGGTGGTGGGGTAGGGCAAGCGGGACTGGGGCCGACGAAGGGGGATGAGAAACCCAGAGTGGTGGTGCTGGGGACCGGGTGGGCTGGGTGTCGGCTGATGAAGGGTATCGACGCCAGCATGTACGACATCGTTTGCGTGTCGCCGAGGAACCACATGGTATTCACTCCTCTTCTAGCCTCCACCTGCGTCGGCACCCTGGAGTTCCGGTCGGTTGCTGAGCCTATTGGGCGGATCCAATCCGCCATTTCCCGGGAACCCAATTCTTATTTCTTCCTGGCTAACTGTTCTGGAATTGATTTCAACAACCACGTGGTATGCTCATCTTCCTCCCAGGATTGATCTGCTCTGGAATTTTAAGATCTCAATTTTAAGATATGAACTGCTCTTGAATTGATTTCACCTTTGAGCTCAATCTTTTTTTGTCCAAGTCTTTCACATTACTGTGTATGTGATCAATCATTTGATACCTTAGTTCACTGTTGAATTTCATATGCCATTTGGATCACCCAAGAGTTCTTTTACAGATAAACTGCCAAACGGTTACGGATGGAGTGGAGACGTTAGATCCATGGAAGTTCAGTATCACGTATGACAAGTTGGTTGTGGCTGCCGGAGCCAGAGCCTTAACATTTGGGATAAAGGGTGTGGAGGAGCACGCTATCTTTCTTCGGGAAGTTCACCATGCCCAAGAAATAAGGAGAAAACTCCTGCTTAACCTCATGCTTTCTGATGTGCCTGGTCTGGTTGCATTTTGCCTTGCACTTATATACTTGTATTCAGTTCTTGAAGGATAGAACTCAGGTTATTATTGGTGACATTTGACTTTTGAGCTCAAATATGGCAGGAGTTAGTGAAGAAGAAAAGCGCAGACTCCTACACTGTGTTGTGGTGGGAGGTGGCCCCACTGGAGTTGAGTTCAGCGGGGAACTCAGCGACTTCATCAAGAGGGATGTTCATCAAAGATATGCTCATGTCAAAGATTATATTCACGTCACATTAATCGAGGCAACCTCTTCTTGTTCTAATCATATTTCGTTCTTCATTGCAATATGATCAAATTGAGTTTGGATGGGGGTGTTTTAGTATGTTGTAAATGACTTTTAGTATTCATTTTTACAGGCAAATGAGATATTGTCTTCCTTTGATGACCGTCTTCGTACTTATGCCACCAAACAATTGACCAAGGTGAGATTGAGTGATTGCCAAGTGCTAATACATGTACTTATTATCCTCTTTCCAGAAAACTCCAAAACCAAACAAGTTCTTTGGAAAATGGAAAGTAAAAGTTAAAAAAACTATTTCCAAGCCAAACATGTTAAAATGACAAATTTTCATTTTAGTCAGGAGTTCGTCTAGTACGTGGTGTGGTAAAAGATGTGCTGGCTGAGAAGATAATTCTGAGTGATGGCACGGAGGTACCTTATGGCTTGTTAGTGTGGTCGACTGGAGTTGGACCCTCTTCATTTGTCGAATCTCTCGATATTCCCAAAGTCCGTGGAAGGTATAGTAAAAAGACAGTTTTACCCCTTATACATTATATTTTCCGGGTTTTTAACAGATGAAAAACGTAATTCATCAACAGGATAGGGATTGATGAATGGCTACGTGCCCCTAGTGTGGAGGATGTATTTGCAATTGGGGACTGCTCGGGCTTCCTTGAAAGTACAGGCAAGCCTGTGCTTCCAGCTTTGGCTCAGGTAAAAACCATTTTTCTTTTTTTTTACTATAGAGAATAAAGTAAACACAAAACAGTAAAAACACCTCACTCATCAATATATCAACACAAGCTTTGCTTTACGAATGGTTAATCAGGTTGCAGAGCGACAAGGGAAATACCTTGCGACACTATTGAACAGAGTTGGGAAAGCTGGTGGTGGGAAAGCGAGCGCGGCGAAGGACATCAACCTTGGGGATCAGTTTGTTTACAGACACTTGGGCAGCATGGCTACGATTGGTCGCTGTAAGGCTCTAGTTGACCTCAGGCAGAGCAAGGAGGGGAAAGGGGTGTCCCTTGCAGGATTCACTAGTTGGTTCATTTGGAGATCGGCTTATCTGACTCGAGTCATCAGCTGGAGGAACAGATTCTATGTAGCCATCAACTGGCTGACCACTTTTGTTTTTGGCCGTGATATTAGTCGGATTTAGATGAAAATGATTTACTTGTCCTTACAAATAAAATCCTTTTCTTCATACATAGTGCAGTGTTACTTTGCAGATGAAGAGAAACTTGTTTATATTGTTGTTTTAAACCTTACTTTGAACTACCACAGTAAAGAATTCAATTCAATAAGCAAAACCCAATGTCAATTTCACATTTTTATGGCAAATTGTCTACAACAAGCATGACCAAATAGAATCTCTAACAGAAACTGATAGATCAGATCAACACAAGATGTTGCTTTCACCTGCCATTTCAGGCCAACTTCAGTATTTAGTTTTTTTTGGTTTACTAATGTATATACATCTACCATTTAAGTTGAATCAAAGAGGAACTGCATTACTGTAAACGACCATTACGTAGTAAATTGTTGAAGAAGATTGTCTGATATCTAATCTGCAGATTTCATCAAAGTATTGGGGAATTTGCAGCATCAGCGGAATTCTTTGAATCTCCATTGCCCAAATAAATCGGGCATGTTCATTGCTGGACTGTTCAGAGAGGCATGATCATTTCCATTTGCTCTCTGAGTGGCTGAAGGGATCACAGCTGCTGGCCTTACACTCTGATCATGAACACTATTCATAGCTTGTGGCGCGACAGCAGCAGAAGAGGATGGGCCAGAAGTTTCTGGATTCCTGTTCCTATATTGAAGCTGTTTGAGACCGTGGGCAAAGGAACAGAACGCTCTCTTGCAGCGTGACCTGTACTTGCAGAGTTTGGTTCGGAATCGGTCAGGGTTATGCTGCTGGGCCCTTATGATTGTATATTGATCAGGGGGACGAAGCTCTTCGTGACTGTGGGCAAAGGAACAGAACACTCTCCCGCAGTCCGACCCGTACGTGCAGAGTCTGGTTTGGAATCGGTCTGGGTGATACCAGGTCTCCAAAACCCCATGGGAGTAGTGACAGTTGTCTCCCCGCGGGCACATCCGGCGGCGCCCGTGGTAATAGCGACAGGGAATGTGCCGGTATGAGTGCATGTTCGGGTCCCGCCTTCTTTTCCTCTCCTCAGGGTGATAAAAGGGGCAGCGCAACCAGCTGTGGCAGCGTCGTAAGGTACAGCGCTTCACCTTGTATGTGTATGCCAAGCTATCTAACTCCTCCCCTTCCATAGCTCTTGTATGAATGTGTGGCTGTAAGAAAAGCCTTCTCTGTCTGATCTGCAGGATTAGTGTGTGTGTATGATTTCAAAGAATAATTAACAGAGATTGCAGACAGCCTTAAAAGTTCAATTTTTGATCAAGAAGTCTCGTCTGGAAATCAAGAAAGGGTGAATCCTGCAGGCATGGCGCTTAATTTATGTGATTACGTGAACTTTAACTCAAAGGGTTCTGGTTTTTATTGATGAAAGTACAAATCTTTATCAAGAAGTCCCATCTGGAAATCAAGAAAGTGTGGAACTTGCAAGCCTAGCGGGTAAATTACAGGATTACATGAACTTTTAAACCAAAGGGATCTTTGTTCCATCCGAAGAGTGCATAAAGATACGGGGAAATGGGTACCTGAACTGGATGGAATCGTGCGGAGAAGAAGTGGAAGGTTGGCGAAGAACAACCAAATGACAAGAATTCCAGCTGCTTATAAATTCCAGTTCTCTGATGTGTATGAATTCAAAGAGTGAACACAGATTAGAGTCAAGAAAGTAGAAGTTACGAAGAAGAAATCTCGTGGGAAATCAAAAAAATGTGAATAGTGAAAACTTGCATTTGATTTAGGGGGAATAGAACTTAAAGGGAATCAAAGAGTGCATGGAGAAATCAAGAAGAGAAAGGGGAGAGTGGATACCTGAACTGGAACAGTGCATGGAAGAAGAAGAAGAAGGAGAAGAAGAAGAAGAAGAAGAAGAAGGGGAAGAATAAATGGAGACGGAAGAAGGCGCAATAACGGAAATTCCCGCGCCCAAGAGTTAAAATGTTAGTTAAATTACTTCTTTTTCCTTTGGTCCCGAATTATAGTTCCACATTTAACCAGAAAGATTGTTAAAAAAAATTAAATTGAATCGTTGAGAAATAATGTAATTTCTTTTTTGAAAGATGTAATTTAAATTATATATTCACTTAAATAAAAAATTCTTTTAGGCAAACAAACAGCGGTACGAATTTTTTCACCCGATGAAAATAGTATCAATTCAATTTACATTGCATATTAATAAAATAGTATTAATTCTTAAAAGCTTTTAATGATAAATCTCATTAAATTACTTTTGTGTTAATATACAACTTAATTTTAAAATAATAACATAATTAAATATAAAATTTAACTTTAAAAAAGTCAAATTGAACCAACAGACTCGTTGAGATGCAGTATAAACATTTTATTAAAATTTTATATAATTCATTAAATAAATGGAATTAATAAATAATTTCCACCCGAGAAAGTAGAATTGTTCAAGTCTAAACCAAAGGTTTGACCAATTTCTTGCCTTCGTCCGGAAATTTTTTTTCCATACACTCTATATGATCAAATTTTACTTACTTTATTTATTTACTTTCATTGACCATTTTATTAAATAATACTCCGTATAGTTTTGTCACATCTATTTTATAGAATTTTTATACCCGGAGTATATAGTTTTTACTACATAAATTGTATTTTTTTAACTTTACATTTACAACCAATTAACTTAAATTAAAAATAAAATCAGTCAACTATCATAACACGTAATGAGAATGTCTCTTTCGGACTGATAGTGTATACAGAACTAGCTAAAGGACTAATTACATAAAGAGGAAACCTATAAGGGTCCGTTTGGTATATAGAATTGACGGAATTGGAATTGAATTAGAATTGAGATTTGATGGGATTCAATTCCATAGAATTGAATTCTGTTAATTCCAATTCATTTTTTGCACTATCAATTCCAAATCCACATAATTTTTGTGATACCAAATACCAGAACTGGAATTGAAGCCTTCAATTCCAATTCCATAGTTTGAATTCCATGTACCAAACGGGGCCTAAGGGAATTTACCTAAACGGTACCATAACATAATGATTTTCTCAATGTAATAACATATCTTTTTATTTCACAATATAGTGCCACTGGTCATTGTCATTGGTCATTGTTTGAGTAAATGTCCATCATCATTGGATCAATTATTTCCATTACTAGATATTAATCAAGTACTCCACTATTTATGAAATAAAAAAATTTAAGTACAACATTAAAAAATCACGTACTCCCTCGTCCCCATTGTTATTAGTGCTCTATACGATACTCTACCATATTGTACAGTGCTTTTGAGAAGGTGGGTGAGACATTAGATAGAAATGTAGATATGGAATATGGAAGGTGGATGGGGGCACTGATGTAGATAGGGATATGGAAAAGGGGTAATTTTGTCCAAAAGAAAAAAAAGAAGGAATATTATAATCAAATTTGGAACAAGAAGAAGAGGGAATACTATAATCAAAATAGGGACGGAGGGCGTATGTTTTATTACTAGCTCAACTCTCACATTTTCTAAATCAAATACCGCTACATTTTTTTGGGGGTAATTTATTTAAATAGGACTAAAACATAAAGTCTTTCTCAATATAAGATCATATGTTTTTATTTCTCAATGTAGGACCATTGATCATTATCTATTAGTATTATTCAACTAAATGTTCAGCATTATTTGTGTTGAGTGTTACTTCAAAGTCCCACATCGGTGGGATAGGAAAATTGAGAAGGGATTGGAGCCTATAAATAAAGAAAAGATATAGGCTTCCATCACACAACACAATCCTTCAATCTATATAATTGTGTATTAGATTTTAGGTTGTGAGTGTCAAATATTGGAGAGAGTTTGTAATTTTTCCGTGCAAAAATTACTAGTGAGATTTTATCCCAGAGGGGGTCGTGGAGTAGGTCTTGAGGTGCCGAACCACGTTAAAAATTTGTGTGCTCTCTTTTCTTTTCTTTCCATTTGTTTGCAGTGGGGGCCTAACAAGTGGTATCAGAGCCAAGGTGCAGAGCTCGGGTGATCTGGTAATTATAATTCTTAGTATGCTGTGTGGTTGCAGCTTTGACTGATCTTCCACATTAGAAAAGAATTATTAATTACAGAGTTGCAGTCTAGAGAGGAAGAAGATAGAGCAAGGAGCAAGAGAAGGGTGTGCCACTTCAGCGGAGGAGGTGGTGGTCCAGTCAGCAGAGGTGGGTCCGTGAGTGCCACGTCAGCAGTCTGTGGGTCCGAGTGCCACGTCATCATCCAGTCAGCGCCACATCAGTAGGTCCAGTCATTGTGTGGGT